TGCTTCTGCTTGGGATAGAAAACAGGTGGTCAGGACGGATTTCGTACCACCACCCGCCTGATCAAGAGCCAAATGAAACAGATCACTCCAGTAACCAGTTATCCCAAGTCGTTTGGCCCAGGGCTTGTCTAAGCTCCTTCAACTCTGCGCATGATTCCAAGGTGACCTGCATCTCTGCTTCTGTCTTTGGTACAACTCGTAAACTTCGTACACATTTAGAACTGTGACGTTCTGCGGTGTTGTACACTCTACCTATAACGGTTCTATCTGTTCGGTATATTTGTGTCTATTAGCGATCGTTCATTTATGTCCCAGCAATGACCCGAAGAGCCTCACGAATCCTTCCAACCGTTGCTTCCTCTGTATATCGGTTTGATTATTCTACAGGTTCATTCAATTTCCCGACCTACTACCTCAGTTACCACTCCCAGACCTCCACCCTGACTGCAATGACTGTTTCGAAACGGTCCCCCTAATTGTTAAAACTTGCAATTGTTGGTCTCATGTTCGTATTTATGCTGCACCAAAACGGACATGTTCGAGAACCACATCTGCCGCTCTTAATGAACCATCTTCTATGTGTTACAATCCTGTTACCTGCATCAGCACCGATGCTGCCTGTATGAGCACCGATGGTGCCTCCTAGTATCTTATGCTGCCTGTATGAGCACCGATGGTGCCTAGTATCTCGGGTCTTCATGAGGCCTAATAGCAGCGAAAGCCGGCCTTGCTGGTTTTTTGTCATACTCTCCGGGTTTATGCAGTATACTAAGTGGAGTTTGCCAAAAACATAAAGTCCCATGGTTTCACACATTTTTCAATGAAGATTTGGTCCTGAAAGTAAAGGTAATCTATTGATAAACTACGCTTTTCAGCCAATCAACACGAGACCATTCAATTTGGATTTTGTGACTGGAAGGTAAGTAGCAAGCGAGAAGATTTAACTATATTGTTGGTCAACCGCTGGTAGCTAAAATGTGTAGTTTTGACTACAAACCAAAAGGGAGTGAGTTCAAAATTCTCTGAGTTTCCTAAGATGCGCACTGATGATGATTCCCTATAAACATGAAACACCTTTTCAGCACAGATTGATTACACTTTTAAGAAGTCTCAGCCAAAAATTCTCAAACGTCCTCAAACTGTCATAAGTGTATGGACTTTAGACGGCATTCTGAATTGCTTCAAAGCACCATAACCGTAGTTGAATGACCTTGAAGACAATCTGGACACTTTAACTGAAATTTTCCGCAATGCAAGCCGAGTTTTTAACTATTTTCCTTCGATTTAAAAGACACTTCTGTGCTGTATGTTAAATAAAGGAAGATGAGGGGAATCCAGCGATATTAGGATTGTGACCATGCTTATCAGTGGCCAGCTGACGGTAGAATTTTTGTACCAACATAAAACTGGGCCAAAAATGCATTGAGTGAAACGGTGGTCGATCGAGTCCAACTGTTCACATTGATCCTAGTGATGAGTTCTTGCGAACCCACGACATCACGAGTCCAACTGTTCACATTGATCCTAGTGATGGGTTCTTGCGAACTCACGACATCAGTGCATCCGGATGCTAACCCGGCAGAAAGCAGCCCTCTGTTACTCTGTCCCATCCTCGAGTCAGAAGCCGCACGACATGATTATGGCGGATGCACTCATTGTGAGATAGGCTCTAGTGAGTGCCATCGACGCTGATGGACTAAGAGAACAGATGTCATGCTCTGCGCACTCTGTGTTGTACTAAAACAATGACAGATAATAATCGTCCAGCTGTAACATCCTTTCGGTTCCTAGGTAGCACGCTACCCGAAGAAAGTATCAAGGCTGAGATAGTGCCAGCCTAATCAACAGCAGTTGAGATGTCGGTTGGGGTTCGAACCACAGACCTCAACTTCTGAGTTATCTCGAGCTGCGTGGTCTATGACTACCTAATAGTCATTCGGTTCCAGTTCGCATAATCCTAGAGAAGTCGGGTTTTTTAGAGCTAGTAAAAGCAAAGCACTGCATCAGGAATATGAATTTGCCGAAAATAGTGATGACCGTGTTGAACAAATTCTGCTCCTGAGTCTTCTTTGCCTTCTGTTCTCTTATAAGATGTTTTTCAACGCGCGTTGGATAAAGGACTTTGGAAGCTACATGGACTCCACCCGTACCGTATGGATAAGAATCTCCCTGCTACCAAATTCGCTGTGAAAGCATCATCAACACCAACTGCAGGAACCTCGTACTTGCCGTACAGTGGTTGTAGCCACCACAGTTTCGTTCACCGATAGTCACACACAACTAGCAACTGGCTGAACAAGAAACCTACACTAAAATTTTGTGTGTGTTTGAATTGCTGCATGTTCCCCTATTTGAGCTGCAACTTTTTGGCCGTTTTTCTTCTGTCATAACAATGTACAATACAACAATTTGACTACTGAAATTCCTCACGTGGTTTGTTGCACACTTGTGAGAGGATGAAACTTCCTCCCCACTTGACTAATGTCATCTGGTTGCGCTTATTGCTCGTGGGTCAGGGTCAACCTGACGGTAATGAGTTGTCCTTCAGTGCATGAATAGAACACGTATAATCAGACAGTCCATTGTTAATTTGAATCATTCCTGAATCAACTGCTGCGCCGGCGACTGCATGGGGTGAAGGTTGAACATGAGGAGAGACAAATTTGCCATAATGAGGCTACAACACATATATTCCTCAATACTTTTCATACATCGTATATCAAAGTCAGGAATCCTCTTGTAACCTGAATAAACAGTGTTTCCGGTCTAGCCTGGTTCAACGAACTACTGAGTGTTGGTTAGAAAGTGTATGTCTCAACTGCAAAAATCAGTGTCTCCCTTCAGCGCAAGCCTGTTTTCTCGTTAGACACCAAGTATAATAATGGTTCGACTAAGAACTCCAATTATACTCTGTATGAACGAAAATACACCCCTGGGATCAGACTAAAATCCCCAGAAGAGTGCTTAACCGCCTGAGCTGCCGAAAACGTTTGGTCTCTGTCACAGCATCTGAACTTCACAGCTTGTTGGACACACTTTTGCCTAATGGATGACAGTTGATATCTCTCATAGTCCTAGTTTTCTGAGTGGCTTCTACAACTGCCCGGACGCTCATATTGTCCTGACACCAAAAAGGATTGATTGTAAATAGTACTATCAAACCAACTACTTTCTAACACGACTGCGTCGAAAGGCAGGTGAAATTCTTGAAACCAATGGAGAAAATGCATATCAGAACTAAAGGATTCAGTGATTAGCATACTAAAATCCCATCGTCGGTGACTATCAACCATTTAATTAACGTTTTGTGGCAAGCCAGTGCTGTGACGCGAAGACCACATGCCCACTGACAACAGGTCAAATGAACACGCTCGGTTTGTTAGAAAAACGGTTGAGAGACAGCGCAACCCTCAAGAACATTTTAAGGTCACACGATCGAAACTATCTGACTTCCGTAAGTTGCACAAAGCAGACGATTCCTAACACGGTTGAAACAGTTTTACGGTTTTTCTTGGCGTTCCGGCCTAGATTAGCCTCACTAGAAGGACGAAATCTCATTTGAAAATTGCGAGAACTCATCACACTACCATCATCTTATGAAAACGACCCCGGTACGAAAGCCTACTAGAAAAGAGTGACCATCGTGGACATGACAAAGTGCACTACAATGCCTACTGTCAGAATGCTGCCTTCTTATGACAGCACAATACCCCTAACCATGAACACACTTCCTGCTTTGTTTCTGACCTACTCAAGACTTTGGATTCACAGAAATAGTTCAGTGAACGAGGATCCACATAGGTCGTGGCTTGTATGATCAGACAGTGACAGAAGTTTGATTAAATGTGCACAATTCGAATCGGCTTTCTTGAAAAACGGACTGAGCCTGCTGAGTGTTCACAAAAATCAGCGATTATAAACATCTTTCCATCGACCTCCCTCATTTTTTATTTGTTCAGTTCCACGTTGTCACCCCGTTAAGGATGGACGCTTGTAGATACAAAATTAGTTCCGACAACGTGCAAGCGTCACACATTTTTTGTTTCTGTTTGTCACGTCAAAAACCGCTGATACGCATGAGGTGGAATTTAAAGCAACCGTAGTATGTGAAGAGTGCCAGCAGCGGCCATGGTATAATGCTTCAAGATCTCCTTTGAAGCCTATGGTGACGCATACTCATCTGCATTGATGTGAAGCACTCAGCACATAACACAAGAAAAATAAATCGAGTGCAAACAAACAACTTTTGTGTAACCCTTACACCATCCCATGAATCTAGAGTTGGATTTTAACTATAGACCATGCTTGGAGTGGATTAAAAACTGCTTGTAAAGTAACTACTTCCTTTTATCTTTCCCCAAAAGAATTGCACCGAATTGCAGACACTGTGTTGTGAGCAGCCACCCGTTCGGCCTCTACAATGGATAGATCTCTTTGTGTACAGCTAACTCTGTTTATCTGATGACAGTTGTGTGCTTTGGTGGCCTGCGGAGCATGGCAGTAGTCAAGCTTAAATGGTCTCTGAAGTCAACAAAATACTTGAAACCACACCCGGATTTGAAGCGGTTTCATATTCGATGTTTCATCCTCAGATAGATCACTCAGCGTGCTTCCCTCATAAAACCAGTTGAATTTGTGGAGTTCTACAAAAATCGTACAATTCGGTAAAAAAAAATCGCGCATTTCAATTACTGTCATCGTAGGCAGATCAGGGGCCCGTCTCTAGACTGTGGTGACCACTGGGATGAAATTACTTTCTACGATGGCGTTTGCAGTAATTTCACTCTGACTGTGGATAAAGGAGTGTCTAACTGGGTCAACTTGACTCCACACATGAAAATCCGAACCTAACGCGTTCAAAGCATCATGAGAGCATTGTAGAATCGAAAATCAGCGTTACATAATCTTGGAGAGCAATTTTACATTATCATCGTTATCATTTCGTGTAACCCACTGGAAACCGAAATCCAAACGAGGTGTCCAAAGCTGGAGAGCGGCAGATGGTCGGATTTAAACTAATCCGACATAAGGTGCGACAGTTGCCCAGTGCCAGTGAAAAAAAAGCTCAGCACCAAACACCTTCTCGTCATGCTATTGCTATCACTCAAGTTGGTTCACAATTCTGATCTGGATCCCAAAATACAAAGGACCAAAACAAATGCTACTCAGCCAGCAACTGACACATAAGCAATTTGCTCCATCCATTTAGATACTCAAATATTGGAGGTAGTTTATGGTTAGTCGACGTTATTGTGGCTTTCGAAGCTGTGCACCGGGAATTTTAGTTTACCCAATGACCTTAGTTGTGTTTTGGGTACTTTCATCAAGTTTCAATGAGCAACACCTAGCTCCTAGTTGGTTGTAGGATGGTCACAATACAGGCTGTGCTCTTTTGTGTCTTGGTGCTAAGTGCGACTACAAAGAAGTAGCAAGCACCGAAGTTTCGACTCCATCCTGTCGATTTCACTTACCTCGGACTTAAGTATACTTTTCAAACAGCACGCCTGATAATTCTGTGTAAAAGTAACGGAATTTCCTAAAATAAACCTTCAGTCTTAATTCTTATTAGAAAATCCAAAGATGTGGCCAAAGTAATTTAAAAGCAGACGAACAAACCAACAGAGAAGCCACTAGCCTGCTCAGAAACGACACAGAATATCCGAGGATGAGGTCGGAATGAGCACTTAAACAAGCCTTTCTTAGCAATCCTTGTTTATCTGAAGATATCCGCAGATTTGCAATTCTATGTAAAAGTTTTCCTCAGGCACCCTACGAATTTCTAGAAAATTTAGTGAACGTCTAAGGATTAGCGCCACCTTGTCACCGAGTGTCTTGAATAAAACGTTAGTTTTTGTTCTGAGTCTTTATGAAACCAAGTTGTCTGGAAACTTCTACCCTGAAACGCGGAGATAATTATTCAGGGATGAATTCTGCATATTGGGAAGCCAATGAATTACGCGTTCACTGCGTCAGTGACCCTCTGGACTGCAACTCCATTCATAGGTAATTGAATTTGCGTTTATTCGATTTTCTTGTCTCACTGGCGATGTTAGCAATGTAAGTTCTCTAGGATGTCAAGTGTCCGATATCAGCTTCAGAGATTCCTTGTTCTTCCATAGTGGTAGCCAAGTTTATCGCATCTATTTGTACTTTGTTACGGTTCTTTACCGTAGACTGATAAGTAGCTAACAAAAACTTGTTTGGTATTCGTCAAAGTAGAAGTTTGATAGTCCAAGCAGTCAGACGAAGGTGGCAATAACATTGGATGCCTAAAACCCTACGTAAAGTGAGATCTTTTTAGTGTATTTTGTGAAATTAAGTCTAGCTTCAACGCTCTGCTAAGTGATCAAAGAGGGAGAAACGGGAACCAGCTCCAAATGATAGTTCATTGTCATCATCACTGACAACACTAAATGAGAGCACTGATACTTTATTTTCTTAAAACCATGTCAATTTATTTGAATAAAGCCTTATAACCGAGAGAAGAAAGAGACAGTGAGGGGTGAAGACTTAGGACTTGCTTACCACAGACATCCGAGGTGCCTACACCTTCACCACTCAGTCAGACGGTCTGCATGGAAACTGACAACATAAAATCCACTTATATCGGCTAGCTTTGATACCGTTCACTATCCCCGGTGGGCGTTTTTTCGTGCCTACAAGATCCGCGGTATGAAATCTCGGGTTGTCTAGCCTTACTCCGTTACACAAGGCCCCTCAGAGGACTTGTCACATACGGTGACCGACCGGATGGCTGCTCACATCTCGTTTGCAAACGCAACTCCCATAATGCGCACCTACCGATATAAATTATCTAAGCGTGGTTTTCAGCAAATAGTGTAGGGCATCCAGGAGTAGTGGATTTGATCAAGTTTACATTTCAAAAAATGCATCCCGAAATTTCTTACGAGTACATTTTAGCTCAGTCAGTTTGGAACAGTCTGTTTAGAGTGTCATATTGGAGATCACGTTCATCCGTGGTTTCATTGTCGGTGCTCGGCAATCCTCGCAAAAAGTTACATCCGCTTCTTTCATCGGAAGCTACACCTTACTGCTTATCTCCTCGTCGCAGAGGACCTTACTCGCATCTCGTTATCCGAACAAACTCCGTTAAGGATACGAGTTTCTCTTTGTCCTACTGCACTTGTTTAGCATTTCTGGAACGAATTAAATCTCCGAGGCGAAATTCCGGTCATTCTATACAACAGCAACAACAAGAGTCACTCATGGCGTGGTGAGCAGGAAGCACATAAGTTAAAACCATAAACAGCGACATGAGCACAACTTGCGGATGACGAAACGCATCATCATCATCATCATCATCATCATCATCATCATCATCATCA